TTGGGAGATGCCACCTCTACAACATCTAGAAATGTCAGCACAACTCGTGGTAAAGAAGCTTGGCGACAGGTGAAGACACTCGGCTCGCTATACGGCTCCGGGGAGGACGTAGCGCGCCGTATTGGCTTGGCCGCAAGAGCATTTGGAGACACTCTGAAGTTATGGTTCAAACACAACCTGTTTTCTACACCCATCAAAATTCGTTTATACAACACTTTCGTTCTACCAATCTTGACCTACAACCTTGCTTGCCATGGCCTGTCCCGTGCACAAGAAAAGCGCCTAGATGTGTTTCATAGGAAACAGCTGCGGTGTACCCTTGGAATTACCTACCCAGATGTCATCTCGAATGCAGATGTATATGCTGTTACTGGCCAGTGCTCTGTATCTGAAATGGCCAAGCGGGACAGGTGGAAGCTATTAGGACATATATTACGCCAGCCCAGTGACATCCCTGCAAATGTTGCTCTCACTGCTTTCTGTACATATGCTACCAGTCAGCCCTTTCGAATAGGTGCACCCCGCTCTTGCCTCACCACAAGTCTCCAGCGAGATGGCCGCCTCACACCTATCTGCATTTTTAAGCCCAGCTGCCTTCGTGATCTCGGCACCTATGCCCGCGACAGAAAACAATGGAGTAACATCTGCACCTTAACCTTGCGGTATTGGGCTAAGAAAAACGCTATAATATTGCACCCATGCTATGATAAACACATAATACAATATCAGGTAAACATGTACGCTAGGTACAAACACATACAGTCATATTGAGGCGGCACAAAGAGGATACGCCAAGAATGACTCCTTGACCAACTTCTGCATCTGAGTTTCCCTCTCCAAACGGGACTTTCCTTGTTTGTGTCTTGCCGTAGCAATATGGGACATGATTATACTCTTCTTCCCTGACAATGTTGTATGGCATGCCAGGCACACTAACTTGCCATAGTCTCTTTTGAGCGGCTCATCTGGGAACTCCCGCACCCGTGTTTCGGCACTGATGGCCACTTCAGTGCTCTGTCCATGAGCTACTCGCGTCCTTTTGGAAACATTTTCAGACTTGGTAATAGCTGTTTTGAAGTGTTTTCTGAAAAGACCGCTTCCTCGCTATCGCGGCAGGATCTGCAGTTTCCAACTCGACGACGTCACCATGGTCACTATCATCAGAGGACTCCGCCACAAGCTCATCTGGAGAAAGCCCAGCTTCCTCCCAATCCCAAGAACGGCATCGCGGCGAGTCAGCCATCAGCGTTGGCTGCTAGTTAGCTGGTCTTACACAATGGTCAATGTCCGGTGAAAGTCCAGCGTTACTCTTCGACAAAGACATGGACTCTTGCTTCGATGAAGACACAGAATGTTTTTTTGTAACAATACATTGTGGACTGTATATGTAACCGGGTAAGGTCTGGAATTATGTGTGCGTGTGCGCACCTCCACCGTTCCATGCTGGCTCACATAAAAAATTTGTTTCGTTGGTTCGGCGTTAACGCGTTGTTATCAGGATCTTCAAAAAGTAAGTAAGCTGGCCGAAGATAGACTTCCGGGACCGGAAGTTTCTGCGAGAGTTTCCACACTGTGCTGGACCACAGCTAGCTAGCACTACTGCGCCTGGCACTGCGTGCCACGATCTGTTTAGTACCATGCATGATGTGTACGGTCGGTGGTTATCGCTTGTATGTAATTAGTTGTAGTATAAATACATCGCGTAATAAATGTTGCCAATCAAAGACCAACGCTATAGCCGATACGAATCTGTACATGACGAATTGACGATGTGTGTAGATCTACTATGCAGTCATGTAGAAAGTCGTATAATGCCATTTTTGGCCTCATAATGCTTTATAATGCTCGTAATCAGGGAGTAGTAAAATACATGTATTTTACTACTCCCTGCTCGTAATGCTCCGGGTGGTGTATAATGCTCGATATAATGCCGGCATTATCCGCCAACACCTATACATGACGTAGTAGTCACGCACCTACAAAATACTTTGCAGGATAATATTTAAATTGCCTAGCTTGCCTACAAATCCGCAGAGCATGCCAATATTTTATAGGCCAACATAGGAATAACGAAGACGGTTACATGGACAAAAGGCGACATCGGTCGAGAAAAGATGGGCCTATTCTCTTCCGCAAGTAAGACGCTCTGCAACCACGGAGGCACCGCCGTACGTGATTGACCACCTCAGCAAAACAAATGCAATTTTGCAGCGTAGCTGCGCCATCACAACAGCGTACTGGAGGTCACTATGCTTGTTAACCACCAGCTGAACAATGTTCTTCAATGCACGAGAGCACTCTGTGCCACACATGCCGTTTGTCGAAAATACGAGAGGAGTGAATGACCCCCACTCGACATCGACAACACGCTGAAGATAGGCCCGCTTCTTCTGATGTTCATTCCGGGAAATCTGTGCAAGGACTTCCTGCCGCGACAGCAAAGACGCCGAGGGGTGAGTAACCCTCACATCAAAGAATGCATCTTGCTGTGGCGACCAAAATCCCCTTGCACGGATATCCAATCGAGCCTCTGCAGCATGATTAGCAGTAGCGCCGTGAAGTTGTTCACCATCCAACGGCAAAAGCGGTGGCTCTGTTTGAACATCCGGGATGGCAGAAGTCATCACCTCCACCAGCACATCACGAAGCTCATTATGTCGCAGACTTGGGTAGCCCCCTGTAGGGCATGTCAATGCATGGTCGACAGACATGTCTCTACCACACACACAAGTTTGTGGGAGGCCGTCAATACCCCAGCCATAGCGCAGGGCGAGACCATCCCGGAAACATGCTTTGTTTAGCGCAAAGCCGTTCACAGCCAGGGGCTCAGCCGTTAGCCAACTGGAAACGCCAGCACCAGCAGCAATCTCCAACAGCACCCGTTGACATGGGCTGAGCTCAGGACGCAAAGCAACCTGAGCCTCCTTAGCCGCAGTAGCCATTCTCCGACGTTCGGCATTTCGCAACGCCATTACCTCCGCCTGCAAATCAGCCGGAGCAATGTCATCATCAGGGCGACGAAGCAAATCAATCACCGGCCGTGCCGAGGCCATGCTGGAGGTCCACTGATGCACTGCATGAGGCCCAATGGCAGGAATTGATAGACCACCGGACTTGACAGGCAAGCCGATGAGACTCCACTCAACGGTGGACATGTTCTTCTGACCAGTGATTGCTGGTATCAAATTATTGCCAATCACACTATCGAGCTTGCCGAAAGCATCCGCCTCCGGCAAACCATGCGAGCAAATATGGTAGCGCCAACGCGACCTCAGTCCGCGGGAGAAGACAGAATAAGCAGCATGTGGCTGGGTTTCCGCCAGAGTGGAGAGAGTGCCGACCTCCCTGCACCATACGGAAACATGACGACATAGGCTCTCCTGTACGAATTCCTTCTCACCAATGGCCCCACCAAGATAGCGAACACCATTGGTCAGCACACGTATGCCTGTAGGGTCGAACAGCTCTTGGGCTTCAGACTCCAGGGTGGGTTTCACCAGCAGAACTGTCTTAGCTGCATTACGGTAATAGCCATACTTCGGGCCAATCTCCTCGATTGATTTCCAAAACGAATGCACGGCCGCCAATCTACCACCAGACTCGCCATCATCCGCGTACCAGCATTGGTTTACATTGGGGTGCTGCTCACGGAGTTTACAAACCATAGGAGCCACCGCAAGAGCAAACATGGCCATGGCCAGCGGGTCTCCCTGACAAGTTCCCTCGCGCGAGTACAATACTACGCCGCCAGGAAGAAATAGTGGAATATCCGCACCACATGTATTACGACAAATGTTTTCCATCGGTGGACACACACGTGCGGTATTATGCAAGGTGGCCTTCCTGTTGATTCTGTTAAAGGCATTAGAATTTAGATGCATCGATGAGTAAGATTGCATCAGTGTCATCGGCGAGATATTGTTCCTGGACGGCATGCACAGCCGCCTTTCAAGCCGCCGGCACACCAACACACAGCTGATGAGGGATCACGGCTGTCGCAATATCAGACGATATACACTGCAACACAGCCTTAGCGATGATCCGGCAAGCGACTTCCCCCACCGCAACCGGGCGCACACCTGGTCTCTTGTCCAATGCCACGAGCCGTGCCGCAACAAATGCCGACAGAGAAGCAGGGTCTTCATCCGTCGTGCATATCCTCTTGGCAGCAGCAGCAGCAAGAGCGGCAGCCAAATAATTTGAAGAAGCACCTTTCAGTAAAATACTAACTGTTGTCATGGTTGTTGTCAGCTGCTTGTCTGTCCTCGCAGACCTACAACTGTGCAAGTACAATCCTACAAAAAGTCATGTAGCTTAGCTACAGTAGGCACTCAACAGCGACACTATGGGACTTTTACAAGTAAGTTTTAGCAGCAGTTTTGACCAGAGAGTAGTTTTATTTTTATTTTTATTTTTTTTCTATTGAACACTCACTGCATGATGAACTAAAATGAGGAGGAGAAGTACATATCCAGCAGGACGGAGTGGGTGGGACCTGTGAAGCTCAGCCGACCAAGGGTCTCGGCATCACAGCTGCACATGTGCACCAAAGGAAACAAAATGGGGAGTGGAAGGGCGGGGAGCAGGAGAGCAAGAACTCTAAGGGTAGGAAAGAGAGGAGGGAGGGGAGGAAACCAGGAAACTATTTACTTGTTATTCCATGATGTGAGTGCAAACAAGTACGCAAACAAGTACAAAAATAGCAGTATCAAGATCATGATGCTGAGGCGAAAGTAGAGGCTGATTGCCGTGCAGTTTTGACGAAAGATTAGAGTGAGAATGGAGGAGAGTTTTCAGCAGGGAGTCGTATAGACCCGGGTCTATACGACTCCCTGGTTTTCAGAGATAAAGACAGATGGAGTACAATACCATTGTACTACTCCCTCAGCCTGGTTTTGACACTAACTTTGTACTCGCAGTACAGACTCCTCAGCTCAGTACACAGTGGTACATGCAGTACTGACTATTGTACTAAATGTTGTCAGTAGAAGACTGCTTGTCATGCACGTCACTTTTCCCATTGTTTTCAGAACATGGTCATGGATACAGAATCAGTGAAAGATGTCTCTTCCAGGACCAGGATGGCAGGAGTCCAGGACTCGTTACTGCTGAAGTGCAGGGAATAACCGAAATGCCGCCTGTGCGGAGTTTGAGGCGAGCAGCTTGGCGTGCAAGCACACTCCATTCATGATTGCTACTAAAAAAAAGTCTCGACCCGCTGAGTTGGGAGCTAGCCAGGGGTTTCTCCTGCAGTAGCGGGTGTTCAAGATCTCTAACTTACTCTTTATCTGTTCGTTTCAGAGTTTGTCCGAAATGCATTGGTACTCCATGATTCATGAAAATGAATGAAGGTAGCGAAGCGGAGAGCGGAGCAGGTGCGCACGCACAGGAGAATTCTGAGAACGTCGGGCTGTGGAGGAAACAACGAGGACGAGTGCTGCTGCAGTTGTGTGGCGCGTTTGTCCTCTACTGGCTCACGCTTGGCACGGACTTTTCCGATGGAATTATTTACGCCAGGCTTATCCTGCCTCGCTGCGAGTTGCCATTGAACGACACGCTGGATCCGAGCGATGCCAACAGAAGCAGTCCCTCATTATTCGGAGCTGTTTCTCCAATACCTACCGTGGCGGGGCAACATGTGATTGCAACGAGTAAAACTGAATCATTTCCCTCTTCTTCATCACCGCCAAATCAGAGTGATACTGGGGTGAAGGATTGCGGGGGATTCGGCGAAGGAGCATCACAAACAGGTAACTATTACTTAGTCTTTGCGTGTAGACTCTAGTCATGGTGCTTGCTCTTCATGCTCAACAGACATGCACGTACATGTGGCTGCATAAGTAGTACATTCAGGTCCAGGAATCACACAGTTCGTGTATTTGGTGGCAAGAGACCAAGAACATGGGCTATGGGCGTGCGTGTGCAAGCAACCCACACAATCATAAACATGTTTATCACTCCCTTAGTATTGACTCACATAGATTTTTGCCATACCTAAGCAGTCAAATATGTATAATAATATTACCTGAAGCCGAGTGAATATGGGCGAATATTCACTAGTATACAAACCGAGGCGAAGCCGAGGTTTGTATAACTAGTGAATATTCGCCCATATTCACGAGGCTGAAGGTAATATTAGACTTATACCTCTCCATATTCACCCTCTCGTCCCTAAAACCCAACAAACGAGTCCTGTTGGTCATGCATGTACATGTACGCAGAACTAACGTAAGTCGTTGTTGCTTCACTGAGCCTTCAGACCGACTGGCGTGTTCTTGCCTGAATCGGAGGGCGGCGTGTTCAGAATCTTGTTCAATCGATCGTGTACACGTACTGGTGCATGTGGCATGGGAGGTGACGACCTTGGAGAACACGCTCGTGCCAATCACCATGGAGAACACGCTCGTGCCAATCACCATGGAGAACACGCTCGTGCAGCTTTGTGGCGGAAGCCAATCATTAGAGAGGTTTCGTTTCACGCGAAGATTTGACCAATCAGAGAGAGGTTTCGTTTCACGCGAAGATTTGACCAATCAGAGAGAGGTTTCGTTTCACGCGAAGATTTGACCAATCCGCGATCATCGCGCCAATTCGGGAGTCGGTTTATAACAGCGAGCCAAGCGGTTCTACCCTCACTTCTTTTCTTTTTAGGCAGCGCTTCGGAGCTGTTGTGTGCCCTAGAAAAATTCTACGCTAACGTCCTTGAACAGGGCTGTTCTGAGTACAAACGAAATTCCTGGCTTGCCGCTTGATCCGCAATCATCGGGCCATTGACATGTTGAGCGTCCAAAACCTTGTTTGCTCGCTGGAACGCTCCGTCTGTGAAGATGCTCACTGTCAGCACCTGGTCACATGCGGATCCAGCGGCAATGGCAAGCAAGGAATTTCGTTTGTACTCAGAAAAGTCCTGTCTATGGAAGTTAGCGTAGACATTTTCTAGGGCACTCGACAGCTCCGGTGCGCTGACTGAAGAGGAATCAAGCGCAGCACCGAGGACTGCTCTCTTTACAGTACAATTATGTAAAGTGGTGAATATGAGGTAAGTGGTGAATATAAGCGGTGAATATTCAGCAATATTCACCACTTATGTAGATGGCCAATTGTATGTGGGTGAATATGGAGTGAGGTATAATCCTGCATATTTCACTCCTTAGGGCTATATTGACTGCTTATATTTGACTGCTTAGGGGTTGCGCAGTTGAACGGTGCCTAGTGCAGCATTGTCACTGCATGAGTAGGTGGTGGTGCAACGGTTGTGCAATCATAAAACCGGGACTCATGAGGTTATCGTTCTGGAATTTGAAATACGGACTGTTTGTCGTGATAAATCTAATATTGACTTCGTACTTGGTCAGTATAGGAAATAAAAACCTCGTAAAAGACCTCGGCTTTTATTTCCTATATTGACCTCGTACTCAGTCAATATTAGATACGTATGTGCGCGATCGTGACATATTTCTTGGATAGTGATGAAAATGCTAGAAAAGCGCAAAAAACCCTCAATTGGAATGGCCCTACGCAAGTCAGACCTCCCAAATGTGTGTTTTCGGCATAAACAGTTGCGCGATCGCGAAATATTTCTCTAATAATGACGAAAGTGGTGGAAAAGCTAAAAAAACTACCGTATTTTCTCTAATAAAAGCCCAGGTCTCTAATAATAGCCCAGTCTCCAATATTGCCCCGGGGTGAGGGTGGTTTGAAATAATAAGAGCACAGTCTCTAATAGTAGCGCAGGTCACAATTGGAGTATGCAACAAGTATATTGACCGCATATGAAACAGCAGTACAACATGCCAAGAACATATTTGTAGGGAAGGTTTTCGGTCTACTGCTTCCTTCCTGGCGCCAATGCTATTGTGAAACACCTGTTTTGACAATATTCCCGAGTTTAGGGTTGAAAAATCTGTCTTGACATGGTCAGTTTATGCCTGTATAGACTGGAGTTGGCTTGATAGTTGACAATTGAAAAAATAAAAGCCCTGTCTCCAATAATATCCCAGTTTCTAATAGTAGCACGGGTAGAGCTGTCACTGAAAAAAATAAGAACCCCGGGCTATTATTAGAGAAAATACGGTATGTTGGCATGGCCCTACGCAAGTGAGACCTCCCACATGTGTGGTTTGGGTGCAGCGACTTGTGATGCTGGACCCTGCGGGAATTTCACCTTCTATACACGTCCACCC